GAGGGAGAGAGGGAGAGGGAGAGAGGGAGAGAGAGAGGGAGAGAGGGAGAGAGATCTGTTCTTTGTTTGAGCTTCTCATTGCCAGGGTCCTGGCCAGGGTCATCTGATGGCTTTCTCCCCAGGACAGGCAGAGATTAGGTGCATTCCAGAGATTAGTCCTCCCGGCAGGGACATCTGTCGTGGGCCCTCAGAGCTCAGTGACTTGGTGCAATCCACGGAGATGCCCACAGCCAGTTTCTATGAGCACTGGCCCCAGGGATGTTGCTCAGCCAGGGGAGTGAGGCATGAACATTAAACACAAGTGTTCCTGCTTCTAAGCCCAAGCTAGGTTTCTTGGAACCTGATCTTTTAATTAATGTGTTTTCTTAAATAAACTGCCTATGGCAGGTCTGATCAAGTTAAAACAAATCTCTAGCAGAAACAGCTTTAGACGAAGTAATTAATTCTAAATATTAAAACCACCTTCCCACTAGGATCGTTCAGTATCTGGACTGCCTAGTTAAAGGAGGGCTTTTTCTCCACAGTTACTCAATTCAGGGCATCTCCCCTACCCAGCTGGGAGGGGAAGGGGCGGAGCAGGGCTCCCTGTCCGGGATTCGCACTTTTTTTTCTTGCCAAGTGTGCCTGACCCAGGAAGCAGGCCCAGCAGTGGGCAGCTCCAGTCCCATGCAGCCCGGGGCGTGGTGACGCCACAGTTAGAGTCCAGGCCTCTATGCGCACACACAGCGCCTGGTCTTGCTCCTCTGTTTTGTGAACGTGTGAAAACCTCAGGCACACGTCTTGTGGTTTCACTCACCGTCGTCTGTGTAGTACAGTGTGATGTTTGTTACAACTACAGAAGTGCTTGAGTCTAAAGCGATGCGTCCTGACCAATCCGTGCTTTGGGGCACTGGCTGGTGTGGGGGAAAGGTGTGCCTGAGGCCAGGGGCTTGAGGGCAGGGAGGGCGGGAACGCAAGAGAGGCGGGAGGCTGGGTGGAGCGGGCTCGCCACGGCGCTGAGATCCAGAATTTGCCACTTTTTCTGGAGTCAGGATACGAGTCTCATGGTAACGACAGCTCAGGTTTTCCAGACAGACTCCTGTGGGCTGTCGGCACCAGGCATCTGTCCGTAGGACCGAGGGTGAGAAGCGCCCACTAGGGAGAAGCCGGGATGAGGCGGTGCTGCCTCGGGGAAGGAATCCAGCTGTGGCTGGGCAGACGGGCTGCTGGGCATCGCGGGGTGGGTGGGGACTGGGCGTCACCAGCAGCCGGGCGTCTCCCTGAAGAAAGCCGGGGAAGAGGAAGGACAGGAAGGGCAAAAGATCATGATCCTCAAGTGGTTAGAAGGAAAATGAAATGGAAGCTTCCAGAAAAAAGGTGTAATAGCTTCGCGACCCTCAGTGTCCGAAGCTGAGTGGGCCCCTCTCCTGGGGCAGGTTGGAGGCTGGCGCACCCTGTTCCTTTCTCACATTTGCTGCCCCGGCAGACAGATGCCTGCCGGGCACAATTCCCAACCTGGAGAAAGGCAGGACTTTCAGAGCTCTCACCTCCGCACATCTTCGTTCTGAGGCCCTAGGCAGCTCCTGCCCCACCGTGAATGGATCCGTCTAGGTGCATGAGCTGTTTCTGTTCTGTAGAGGGAAGGAGAGGCCCGGTAGTGAAGCAGGTTGGGGGGAATGGGACCAAGGTCCCCTGGTCTTGGTTCCAGCCTCGGCCCTGAAGGGATGCAGCCTGTTGGGAAGAAGCCCGGCCCGCCCCACAGTTCCCTGTGGGCCAGAGACCCCTGCAGTAAGTCTAGTCCCCACCTGCCCAGTGTGCGGTGCCAGCCTGAGAAAAAAGTACACTAAGAGACAGAACTAAGACAGGAAGCGGGCGCCAGGACAAGCCGGGCCGGTGCAACTGACAAAGGCTCTGGCCAGTCCCAGGAACTGACTTTTATTGGCGTTAACTGGGGTAAAGTCGATGAGCAGTTTCTGTAGAAATTCATGTAAACAAGGCTCATAAAGGACAAGACAAAGCATTCTGAGATTAGGAATAGAATAGACAAAAATAGATGGTTGTAATGAACTCTTTACAGCCTGCTTTGGTCATAATATCACGGTCCTCTACACCTGTCCTCCTGCTGCTGTCTTGTGGAGCAGTTAGAAAGAGAGGACACTGTCTTAGGCAATTATACACTTAGGTGTTCAGCCAGAGTGCTGCGATCCTAAACTGCAGCGTCTTTGCAGCGGAAGAGGATTACAGGGAAGGGAAGGCGGGTGCAGCTGGAGCTGACTGTCTGGCGAGGGCAGAGAGGAAACAAACCGCACCCGGGACTCCAGCATGAGATAGTACTGGAGCTTCAGACTCGTGCACAATTTTTCTTTTCTTTTCATGCAGTGCTGGGGACAGAACCTAGGGCCTCAAGCATGCTAGGCAAGTGCTATACCACTGGGCTATGTCCACAGCCCTTGGTGGAATTTTAAGAGGAAATTCTTTTTTTTTTTGAGATAAGATTTCCTTCAGTTACCCAGGCTGGGTTTGAACTTGCAATCCTCCTGCCTTAGCCTCTCAGGGTGGTGGGAGGAAACTGTTTTTAAAACATTAGCAAGTAGCAGATGGATGTTGAGACACTAAAATGAGTCAGAAAATGACGTTGGAGGGAATTGGTAAAGATCAGAAACGAAGAAATAATCTGAAGGGAAATGATAGACCCCAAGAGCTAATTGTGACGTGAAAAGGGGGTGAAGATAGGAAGTGAGGACGGTGGGTGGAAGATTCAGGAACCACCAAAGGAGAAAGTGAGGGCTGGAGAGAGAAGGAAGTCACCGGATGGAATCATGAGGCGCAGATGACCCAGGCACAGGAAGCTGATGATCTAACATGACTTCCACCTAACAAAAGAGGAGAAGAAAGCCATGCCATGCAATGACAGGGAAACTGAGGCAGGCAGGGAGCCATTATCCCCAAGGATTTTCCCGTTTCTCTCTCTCCCAGCCTCTCCTCCTCATCTCCAAGTAACCACTGATCGGCTTTATTCAGCTACATTGTTGAGATTTTATGTAAATGACGTCACACAGTAGTACTCTTTTTATTCTTGCTTTCCTTTTCATGATCATTTTGAGATTCATTCATGTTATTTTGCGTATCAATAGTCCATTCCTTTTTTGTTTCAGGAAGTAACCCTTTGCATGGATAGGTCACAGTTTTATCCACTCACTTACTGATGGGTAGGCATATCGGTCAGGGTTTAGCAGGAAAATAGAAACCGTAGGATATGCTGTTTTACACACACATACATTGGCTCATGTGATTGCAGGGAGGCTGGCAAGGCTGAAATCTGCAGGGCAGGCTGGAAGGCTGGAAACTGTGTCCAAAATTGATGTTGCAATCCTAAATTGAAGGCAATTGGAAGCAGAATTCTTTCCTTTTTGGGGGACTTTGGTCTTGCCTTTTTAATTCATCAACTGATTGGACAAGGCCCACCTTACATTAGGGAGAGTGATTTACTTTACTTGTTTAAAAATGAATCATATCTAAAAAAAAAACCCCTTTCAGCAACAGGTAGACTGGTGTTTGACTAGAAGCATTCAATAGCCTGAAAAATTGATACATAAAAATTAACCATCCTAAAGTACTTTCTAGGGCCGGGATTTAGCTCAGCGGTTCGGTGGCCTGCCTTGCAAGCGCAAGGACGTGAGTTCAATCCCTGTACCAAAAAACAAAACAAAACAAAACAAAACCTAAAGTACTTTCTAGTTTTGGGCTATTACAAATAAAGCTGCTGGGGCTGGGGATTTAGCTCAGCTGCCTGCCTTGCAAGTGCAAGGGCCTGAGTTTGATCCCTGGTAACAAAACCAAAACCAAAACAAACCCCCAAATAAATAAATAGATAAAGCTGCTATATAGGCCTTTCTACAGACATGTGATTTCATTTGTTTTGGGTTAATACTTATGGGCAGAGGGACAGAGTTAAATCCCTTGCAAACTGTTTTTCAAAGTGATTGTACCATTTTCCATTCCTTCTGGCCTCACGTGGGGCTTCTAGTTGCTCTCACATCCTCGCGGGACTATGTGTCTTCTACTTGGTTTAAATTTACCTTTCCCTGACGACTAATGATGAGCCACACCTTCACCACAGCGTTCTCTTTCCTTGCAGGTTATTTTGCTTTTCGGGTCGGAAGGGCGAGATTCAAATACAAGGTGAACGCCCCGGCAGTCACTGGGTCCCTGGAGTTTGAGAGAGTGTTCCGCGCACAGTAAGTCGGGTGTCCACCCTCAGGAGCTGTGCCTGCCTCACACACACAATTCCTAGTTGAGGGAGGAATTCTGTGGAGGCCTGGAGGTCCCCGGCGATGCCCAGCCACAGGAATCACCCTTCCCAGCGAAGACCTGCTCACTGCCCTGGAGACTGGAAGTGTCCAGTGTGGGGCATCTCGGCCCAGCTTTAGCACAGATACAGCAGGGTATATTTACCTCAGAGGCTGAGATCTTAGCAGAAACTTCTCTGTCTCTCAAGCAGGGCAAATGAGAAATCTCTCCAGGTCTCAAGGTCCGCAGGGCTTTGGATCATCTTGTGTTCCTTGCTTTTTTAGACCCACAGAGAACGTTCTGGCATAAATACTGTGGATTTGCCTGTTGCAAGGTGCTAGAATTCCCTATATATTTTGTCCCCCAAATTAAGTACTTTAAAAACATTGTGTGTATCGCCATTTCTACTTTGTTGGGTACTTTTGTTACTATTTTGGGATTTTTCCTTTACATCCATGCATGAGGCTGGCCTGCAGTTTACCTCTCTTGTACGTTCCATGGCCCACTCTGGTATCAAGATGATGCTAGTTTCAAATGAGGCAGAAGAGTCACCCTGTTCTGTTTTCTTAGATAATTTTAATTAAGTTGAAAAAGGATGTTCCTTCTAATGTGTATAAACTTGGCTTCAAACTATCTGGACCGGGTGTTTTTCTTGTGGAAAAACTTTGGACTATGAGGTTTTCTTTCCTTGATGATTATTGGACAATGCTGGCTTTTTTTCCTCTCAACTTTAATTTTGGCAATTCATGACTTTGAGCTGACGTCACTGGTGTCTTGTTCATTCACTGGCTCCAAGGAGGATTTGCAGATAGTTTCCTGGGTGAATACTACTAGTAGTCCATGAGGTAATTTTTTTTTTTTTTGGTTTTTTGAGACAGGGTCTCACTATGTAGTTGAGATTGACCTGGAACTCACTATGTAGCCCAGGCTGGTCTCGAACTCACAGTGTTCCTCCTGCTTCAGCCTCCGGAGTGCTGGGATTACAGGCGTGTGCCACCACACCCAGCTCCAAGTTTCTTCTTATGGTCTGTTTAGCCTTTGTCTTTCATTTTTATTCATTAAGTAAAAGTATCCATTAAATATTTATTGAACATCTAAGTGTATTGAGGCTTGGCCTGTATCAGTCATCATATCAGGCACCTTGCCCATTTGGAGTTTAGCTGATAGCTGAGGAAGACTGAAAATAAACCACAAACATTGTATTACAAAAAAATATGTGCTAAGGAAAAAGAAAAGGAGAGCCTTGTGAGAGGGCTGGAGCTGGGGTGTGTCATGCTGTGAAATGGGGTGGTCGTTTAAGGCAGCACTTGAACAAAGGCTTCAGGCGAAGGAGTTGGCCACATGCACGTGTGGAGAAAAAGTTCTCAGAGAAGCAAGGAATCCAGGGATAGGACCCTCCTTGGGAACCTGCTTGGGGGCCCAGCAGGAGGTCAGGACAGGAGAGGAGGCCACCAGCGGGGAGAGGGCAGGAGGCAAAGACAGAGCATTATGGGTGCCCCTCACTAGGGTCCAGGCCACTGTGAGAGCTCTGTCTTTCTCTCTGAGGGAACTGGAAAGTCGTAGAGTTCAGGCAGAGGAATAACCTGATCTTCTGTGTCCAAACAGTCACAGTGTTTCCACTTTGCTGAGAGCAGTCTGCGTGGAGTCATTAGTAGAAGCAGGATTCAGTGAGAAGGCCATGGCAGTGGTCCAGGCGACAGATGCAGTGGCGGGAGCCAGGGAGATAGACAGCAGAGGAGGTGATGAGGGGTGGTCCTGTTTGGGTGCATATTGAGGGCAGAACCAGAGAATTTCATGACATAATGAATGTTTGGGGCCCGAGTATCCCAGAGGATGGAAATACCATTAAGTGAGATGGATAAAGCTACGGGAGAGGAATCAGGAGATTCAGTGTTAACGTATTTGTGATATGACTTATGCTGCGGCCAAGGTGCCTTGGTTACTTTTCTTATTGCTGGGGCAAAATACCTGACACTTAATAACTTGAGGGAGGAAAGATTTATTTCAGCTCACAGTTTGCAGAGGTTTTAGTCCCAAGCCGGCTGGTTCCAAGGCAGGGGTGGCAGGACAGAGGAGCACTGCAGAGAAGAGACAGTCCATGCCAGGGTATGCAGCAAGCAGTGAAGCAGCAAAACAGCAGCATCCTGCCTTTTCCTTTTGTCTCACCCAGCTACAACCCTATTGGATGGTGCCACCCACACCCAGGTGGGCCTTCCTGCTATCCATACCCAGAACTATGCTAAGACAATCAGTGAACTAATTTAGTTGTCACACTCATAGTCCATATTTACACAGTCTTAAACCACATTCACACACCCCAGATCCAGGCACCTCTGAAAAGCCCCACCTATGAGCATGTGAAGCTTTGGGGAGACATCTAGATTTGAACCCTAACACAAGGGGATGCCGTAAGCACTATGGGCTACAGGGCTGTCCGATTGTTTGTTGTTAAGTCAAAAGCAGAGGAGCACACTGTTATTTACTCATTGAGAGGGAGAGAGAGAGGGAGAGGGAGAGTGTGTAAGTAGGCTGCTGGATATACAAATCTGCATTTTAGGAGAGATCTGAGCTGCAGATAGAAATAGATCTTCATCAGGAAGATGTTTTACTTGTTTTTGCTTTGTTGTGTTTGTTTTGAGTCAGGGTTTCACTATGTAGTTCAGGTTGAATTTGAACTCACCATGTAGCCCAGGCTGGCCTCCAACTCATGGCAATCCTCCTGTCTCAGCCTCCCAAGAGCTGAGATTAGAGGCGTGCGCCACCACGCCAGGCAGAAATGTGTTTTATTAATTAATTAATTAATTAAATTATTTTTGGTATCGGTGATCGAACTCAGGACCTTGCACTTACGAGGCAGGCGGTGGAACCACTGATCTAAATTCCCAGCCCAGAAATGTGTTTTAAATCATGAGACTAGATGAGAACATAAGGGTGTGGTGGGTGTAAGTAAAGAAGAAAGAGGACCAAGGACTGAATCTGGAGTCTCTGGCGCTGAGAATTTGGGATGATGACAAGGGGCAGCGTAGTGAGCTGAGCACAAGAGATTTTAGAGGCAGGTGGTCCTTGACTGGTTACCTGTGCAATTAGGAAAATGACCCTGGAGAGTGAGTTGGGAGCCGCAGTGCATGGCTGGGGTTACCGAGAAGCTGCCTCGCCAAGGGTGATTGGCTGGAGGCACTTTCTTCCTGGGGGTTCCAGGTGTCAGGGTTGCTAGGTCATCTTTCTGGCACCATTTTGTTTCTCTAGCAGAGACTTTTAAATTTTTGTCCAGTACTAGGGATTAAACCCTCACACTAAGCTGCATCCCAGCCCCGTTTCTATTTTTGAGACGCGATCTTGTTAAGTTGCCCAGGTTAGGTTAGAAGTTGTGATCCTCTCGGCTCAGCCTCCCAGAGCGCGGGGATTGCAGCTGTGTACCACCATGCTTGGTGTGTAGAGAGGGCTCTAAGTCTTCCTCAGGAGTGGGGCCGTGAGGGTGCGGATGGCAGTGCTGGGCCTGACCGCTGGGAGTTGGGAGATAAAGGCAGAAGGTCTTCCACTGAGCAGCGCGAGCATTGTCGCTGTTCGCAGTGGAGAATGGTACCCTCACCCCACCCAATCCGGGAGTCCCCCAGAGAGTCTCTGACTCAGTTTCTCCAGCTCTTGTGATGGGCGAGTGGTCCTTGTATGGTCTTTCAGCCAGCTCCTCTATGTCAGCTTCTGGCCCCCCACTCCCGGGCCTCTCGGGGTTCTGGGGCACCCTTGGCCTGAGTCTTCCCTGGCTCTTTCCTCTGCCGGCGTTTAGCTAGCAGCTCCCTGCTTTTGCCTGCTCAGCTCTTGCCCTTCTGGGCCCGTTTTTCCTCAGAACCCTGCCAATATCTCTCTTCCCTTCTTTTTGCTCTAGATGGCGTGTGCCTATTTTAAAATTCTTTTACCAGTGTTACAGTGAGGCATCGGGAGTAAAAAGAAATAAACGTGGGTCAGTTTGCCACACTTAGGAAGAAGTCCCGGTAATAGTTTCTTGATGTCCCTTGGACACGCATTCCTTGGCCCCCTCAGCAGAGAGCTCATGTGCAGAGCTTTTGGCGTTGGTGGCATCCATCTAGAATTGGGGAGCCTCTGTTCCCTTGGGGTTTATCGCTAACCCTTTAATGAATGAATTAATTAATTTTGGATTCATAGCTGAGTTTTTTCTTTTTCTTTTTTCTTCTAATCCTTCATTTAGGACATGATAGTCTTTCTTCACTTGTACGGGGTTTATCACTAACCCTTTAATGAATTAATTAATTAATTTTGGATTCGTAGCTGAGTTTTTTCTTTTTCTTTTTTCTTTTAACTAATCCTTCATTTAGGACATGATAGTCTTTCTTCACTTGTAGTGATGTAAAAAAAATTTTTTTTTTACTAATTTTCACTTAAAAAAAACAGTTGATTTACACAAAACTAGTAAGTGGTACGCAGAGAGGCTGAAATTTTGACAGTGATGGGTCTGTGTGTGAATTTCGGGAGACAGCATACTATTTATAAAAATCATCACAGGAGGAAATTTCAGATCTTCCCTCTTTGTCTTTCACGATCTGAGAACTTCTGGTTGGGGAAGTTAGGCTTCCAGCAGGCTAAATCCCCAGGCCACTTCTTGATTCTATTTTTGTTCTCACAGTTTCCACAAATTTGATTTTCTTTCAAGTTATTGCTCTCTCCCTCCTCTGCTATATCTGGACTCCTCTTGCCCTAGAAATAAAGCTGGGTACCATTTCCAAATATTTCTCTTAAGTTGCTATTTATAAAGTAAGTATACAAACTCAGTTCCTTGGCTCCAAACTAAAACAAAAACAATTCCCTTTACTTTGGTTAATACCAGCAGAACAGAGAGGGGTTGGAAAAGAATAATATCCCTCAAATATCTGGGTGGGTTTTGAGCCATCAAATGCTGTTTCTTGGAAATCCTACAGCATAAGCAAGGTTCTTG